CGCGCCCACCCCCGGTGGCACACCGCCGCGCCGGGCCCGGCGTATCTCCAGGCCAGCCGCCAGCGCCAGCGCTAGCCCCGCGCCACCAGTCCAGAGTCGGTCCGCGAGTCGGTTGGACGCCCCCCGAGCACGCCCCTGCGCTCCGCGCCGCGCCCCGACCCTCGCGACCAGGACGCGTGACAGCGCACGCGGGACACGCGCCGGCCCCGCGGGACACGCGCCCGCGCGCACGCCGAGGACGCGCCCGGCCCCGGGGGACACGCGCCCGCGCTGTCACCCCCCGCCCCCGCAGTTGGAACGGCGTTACGGGCTCGAGGTGTCAAACTTGTTCGAGCTGGGACTGCCGCTCGGCAGATCGGGGACCCATGGACCGCGTCGACGTCTTTGTTGAGGTAAGTGTTCTGTTGGGGAGACTGTCTGGCCGTTGTCGGGCCGGTGCAGCGCCGCGTCCCCCCGGGTTGTCGTGAGAAGGGCGCGGAGTCTGACACTGCCGAGTCACACGTCGAGCGTTATGAGGATGGGGCAGAGGTGTCCAACATCGATACCGTTCGCCCCGCGCCCCCCGCGCGCTGACGTCACGCGCTCGCGGCCCCACTGCGGGGCCCGCGCGGCCCGGCCCGCGCCGGAAAACGAATGGCTTCGGCTGTTTTAAACTTGGCGCACTCTGACCGCAATATTTTATTTATTGGCCCGTTGGGCCGTCAGGTCTCGTCCAGTGGAAAAGGAGAGACGAGCGGGAGGGGGGTGACGGTGACGGACGCGCACGGCACGGCCTCGGGTTGTCAGGGCAGGAGCGCCGTGACGGGGAAGGCCGTCGGAGGCCGTCCTCGACGTGCAGGTCAGAGGCGCGATGGGGTCGGTGGTGGTGGGGGCATGTGATGTGGTGGAGGGGCGAAACGCGTCAACGTGGGAGTCAGATCCAGTCATATTGACAGGCTGAAAGGGAAAGGCGTCCGCGATAAGGGCGGCTGGAGGACGCGTCTCTGGCGAGGCGGGCCCCGAGGCGGGCCTCGAGGCGGGCGGGCGAGGGGTGCTGTAGGGGAGGGGAGCTCCTCATGGCCCATTTTAGCGCCGGCGTCCCCGTGTGTGGCGGTGCCGGCGCGTTACTCTTTCTGCCACCGCGGGGGACATTACTCTAAGGCCGCGATAAAACCGCCAATGCGCCCACTGATTAATTAAGGTCCTGGCATCAGCATGGGATTAAGGGATGAGGGGCACGACGCGACGCCACCCCCCCTCCCCACGTCCCTGGTTCCTCAGCTTCCAACCCCCCTCCTGCCCCCACCCGCTTTTTCCACGTGTTTCCTTTTTTTCACTAGGTAGGTACTGCCGCGACGGTCCCGGGTCCCGAAGCCACGGGCCGGAGTGCGTTTCGGCCCCTCGGCGCGTCCGTTACTGTCCCCCATTCGCGGCCTTATACCTTCCTTATCCGCGATTTCTATTCCCTCTGGACCGTTTCTCTCCTTTTTATTAACCCCCTTTTGTTCCACCTATGCCGCCGTTATTGCTGTTACCCCCTCCCCTCTGGTCTCTGGCGGGCGATTCTCTCCCCGTTCCTCCCCCCTCTCCTCCGTCGCGTCGTCCTCATCCCTCTCACGCGGCACGTCGACACGGCAACCCGTTTAGCGCGGCTGCCCTTCACCCTCACCTTACTCCGTACCCACTCTGCTCCGCTCACCTCACACCACCCCAAGGAAACCCCCAACCCTCCCTCCACCAGACACTGTGCCGTCCCATCCCACGACGGCCAGAGCCGCCAGTGCTCCACCTCCCTTCCTCTCCTTCCCCTCCGATCCCGCCGAGTGTCGCGCTCCCGCGCGCCCGACCAGCGCCCTCTACCCTACCCCGCCCGCGCTGTCCAGCAGCATGGCTACCCTAATTTAGAAACTAACCCACCTCGCCTAATTCCACTAACCACATCGGGTGCTTCCCGCTCGTCCTGCGTAACCCAATATGACATGGCGACGTTCCCTTCCCTCGTCACTCCACCCCACCCCTTACCCTTTTCGCGCCAACTCACGCCACTATACGGAAGTAAAATATAAAACCAGCACCTCAGCGTTACTTCTCTGAGTCTGGCTGCCAATGCCTCGCGGGGAATTCGCGCAACGCCCCGCCCACCCCGCCCCCTTGAGGGGTGGGCGCGGTCAGTCCGCCGAGGGGAGCAGCCGGGGTTGGTTGGCGATGGCCTTAACCTTTATGCCCCCGCCCCCAGCCTACCCAAGCCACTGCTGCCACATCGGAGATGCTGCTGTGGCTGCGCGACCTTCGACTCCGTGTTGGCAACTCTGTGCTTTTAGCGAAGTGGAATGCCCCGGCTCTGCTCTCGGCTCGGCTCGGCTCGGCCCGACTCGGCTCGGCTCGGCTAGACCGTTGGCTCGGCTCCGGTTCAATGGAAGATGGGAGTAAAAGCTTTTAGTTTTCCGCTTTGCCCATCTCCGATGCAACGTTTCCGAGACATTTGCCGTACTACTTCTGTGAGCCCCGGCCCGGCGGTCCCGCGCCGGCTTGCGTCCTCACATTGCTCTTATCCGTCGCCGTCCTTGCCGCCGCGTCCGCGTCCAGCCGTCCTTCCCCGCCCGTTCGCCCGATTCTGCTGCCCAGCAAGGAGCAAAAGAGTATGCAGCAGAGCTCTGCCACTCTAGCGAGGGACCACCCAGAAAGAAGCTGCATTCGCCGTCCCGTAACCTGCCAAGATCGGCTTCTGCCTCTGCGCGCTCTCATACCGCCTGATAGGTAGGCAATATCTTGCCTGCTGTGCATGCGTGCATTGCGGGCTGGCCTACCC